GGGGATGACCTATGCTCACCCTAGCGTCGAGTTGACCCATGGAAATAGTAAGATCCCCAACTCTTCCGCAAATGATTCCGGTCAGCGGGGGCGCTGGACCGGAACGGAAACGGAGAACGGAACACCCGATCGGAAAATAGAATTCCGTTTTCCGGTTTCCAACTTCCGTTTTCCGGAACACGGTATCCGTTTCCGGCTGCCGTTTCCCAATTTCCGAAATCCGTTGCCCGTCTTCCATTTTCCGTTCTCCGTCTCCTCCTTTCCAATTCTGGTTTCCGCTTTCCGTTTCCCACTTTCCGGCTTCCGTTTTCCAATGTCTGATTTCCGGTTTCCGCTTTCCGGCTTCCGTTTTTCGTTTACAGGTTCTCAATTGTCCAAATGTGGTTTCCGATTTATGGTTTCTGGTTTCCGCTGCCTCTTTCTCCGTCTGTTGGTTTTCGTTTTCTGGCTTCCGTTTTCTGTGTTCCGTTTTCCGCTTTCCAGTTTCTGCGGCCCTCGAAGGCTTCCACGCCAGCCCAAGAGCTCTACAAGAGAATTCCAAAGGGCGCCCGCGAGGAGGAACGCAGACGGACACTTCCCAGAGACAACCCCGACATCGCCAGCACGCTCCCGAGCGACCTTCACAATGCCCCCAGAGGCCCCCAAAAGAGGCTCCGAGGACGTCCAGGCGTATCAGAAAAGCACATGCTGTGGGAAGGCCAGCAGAACGCGCTACCACGTGGGGAGCCCTGGGAATCCAGGCATGGGCCTCCGCCCCTCACGGAACACCCAGCATCTGCGGCACCGCAGATAGAAACGTGGCAGAAACCTGAGGACCCTTCACTCGCTGTCTCCTGCGCCGTTGCGGAAACAGCTCTGCTGTGATTTACGGGCGCAGCTCGTGATTTGCCTCTCGCGAGGTACACTGAACTGAAGGGGCAGTTTGAAGCCAGGGGTGTGTGAGGATCTTTGGGGGGCACTTTTAGGCCAGGAAGGGGGGAATATTTCGGGTGCAGCTTTTAAGCCACGGGGGGGGATACTTCAAGGGGGCAGTTTGTAAGGCACGGGGGGGGGAGGATGTTTCGGGGCAGCGTTTTAAGCTAGTGGGTGGGGATATTGCAGACGGGCTCTTTTAAGCCAGCGGGTGATAATGTTTCAAGGGCAATTGAAGCCAGCAGGATGCGCCGCATTGATTTACATTGCGTTGCTTTGGATTGCATTGCATTGCATTGGTTCGCGTTGCGTCGGAGGAGGGAGGGTGACGGGGAGGAGGGGGAGAGGTAGGCGTAGGAGGAGGAGGAAGAGGAGGAGGAGAAGGAGGAGGGGGAGGAGGAGGGGGCGGAGGAGGAGTTAAGCCACGGGGGGGAGGATATTTCGGGGGGGAGTTCTTACAGCACGGGGGGGTGGATGTTTCGGGGCAGTGTTTCAAGCCAGCGGGTGAGGACATTTCAGGTGGGCTGTTTTAAGCCAGCCGGCGATAATATTTCGGTGGCAGATGAAGCCAGCAGGTTGCTCCGCATAGCTTCACATTGCGGCGCTTCGCTTCGCTTTGCTTTGCTTTGCTTCGCATTGCTTTGCATTGTATTGTATTGCATTGCATTGCACTGCATTGCACTGCTTTGCATTGCCTCGGAGGATTGGGATTGACGGGGAGGAGGGGGAGGTAGGCGTAGGAGGAGGCGGACGACGACGAGGAAGGAGGAGAAGGAGGAGGCGGGGGACGAGGAGGAGAAGGAGAGGGAGAAGGCGGCGGCAGGAGGAGCCGGAGGCGTTGGGCGACTGGGGGGCGCGGAAGGATGAGAGGGAGGGCGGGGGACCAATGAGAAGGAGGAGGAGGACGAGGAGGAGGAGGAGGAGAAGGAGGAGGAGGCGGAGGAGGAAGAGGAGGCATAATGGGGGACGAGGAGGGAGGAGCTGACACGAGTTGCGTTCGGTGCGGGCATCCAAACGCCGCGCGATGCAGTATTGGGTCTTCGTCTCATCCGATGAGACTACGCATCTAGTGCGGTGCTGCGCTCGTATACACGCTCGCCCCTTGACGTGGGGCTGGCGGGGGGCCAAGGGGCAAGGTGCATGCATGTCCGATGGGTTGGAATCGTCCTTGCGTTCTCTGGCTTTGTCCCTGCACAGCAGAAGGTCGTCACATTCCGCATGTGACGGGGCAGGGGAGGAGTGTGAGCAAGACGGTCAGGAAGGGCGGGACGGAAGGAAGGACGTTTTCAAATCAGGCCGTAAATGCTCAAATGTTCCCGGCCTTCTCCGGAACAGCTGCGAGTCATGGCGTCCTTGCAAGATGCAATGGCACCTTTGCCGTTGGCAATTTGGCCGCATGTATGTTCGGCCATGCCCATGGTGCCGCGCGATTTGTGCGAGCCCTTCCTTCGGGCGCGCATCGCGAAGCGCAGCTCCACGCACGCGTCGGGGGCCCAATGCAAAAACCTCGTGTACAAGTGCACTACTTCTTGGATTTGCTGCCGCGGCCACCCACCCAGTTCAATCGAGCGGGCAGCGCGCGTAGTTCCTTTTATAAACTCCCCCCTTCACAGGATATTTGCGCCAACGCTGCTCCGCGCAACCACGCCTCGCATATTCGCCCCGTTCCAGGTTTTCGTTCACTGCTTGCGTGAGCTCAACGCGCGGCCAGGGCCCATGGCAAGGCCCAAAGCCACTGCCGCTCTACGAGATGAACCCCGTGAAGGTCTGTGAGGGCGCGACGCGCGTTCGGGCATCGCGCCCGGCCACAGCCGCGCGCTGCGGCGCCGGCTCAATAACCTCATTCCCCCGCGGCAGGCCGAACTCCACTTCCAGCGCCGGCGCGCGCCATGCGCCTTTGCCCTCCTGCGCGCCTACCCCTCCATGCGCGGCGCGACGGGGGGTCTGGCGGGGGCGGCCATCCGCGCGTCTGGCAGAGCGCGGCAAAGTGGCCGGCGCAGATACAGAGCCAGCAGAAGGAGCTTGACTGCATACGCGCTTGCCGCTACGATGCCAGGATAACGAGTGAGCTCCTTCCACTTCCTGAACGACGCCCTCGGAACTTGACAGGGCCCAGCTGGTCTGCCAAACGCGAACTGGTTGATGACCGCCAGCGCGCGCTGGGCGAAAGGTGCGGGGTCGTTCGGAGGCTTGGCCATTGGAGTCGACGGCGGGCCGCTGCGCCCTCTGAAGCTGTCAGCACGGAGGATTGAATGGCGGCGCCCCGCGCGTGTTCCGCCGCCTCGCGATCCCCATCTTCGCCCCCCTCTACGACGGCAGCGAGCAGTGCCGCCTTAATCTGGCCCAGGAGATCTGCTCGTCTGGACGGGGCGGAGGGCGCGACGGCAAGGGGGGGCTGATCCGCCGAATGGAAAACTCGTGAGGTTACCGCGTAGTCACCTGGAAGCACGAGCTCCTCACCAAGCTCGACGACCTGACCCAACAAGCGCTGGGCGCAGAATCATCCGCCGCCCTTGCCAGCATTGGCCGCAGGACCGAGCGGGCGACGTCGAGGCGGAATGGGCGACGTTCGCCCTGAAGCGGTTGCGGTCGGATGGTTTGGCCTCGCCAGCGCGCGCTCCGCGCCCGCTTGGTCTTGCAGCCAGTTCACCAACTGCGTGGAAGACTCGGCGGCCACGGGCAATGGCTGCGCGGCTACAGCAGGCAACGCGACAGCGACGACGCCGCTCGAGCTGGACGGGGCCCGCCACTTGGCCCGCGCTGCCAGGCTCGCGGCCTCGCCGAGTCGCCGCGCGCCCCCAGGAGTCAGCACGCCCCCCCTGGCCCGGGGCCCCGGCCGGGAAAACAGCCCACAACTTCCGCGGGCGAGCAGGCAGGGCGAGGCGCGGCCCCGAGAGATCACCCTGGCGCCCGGCGCCGACCTCAGCGAGGCCTCTGGGAAGGCCCTGGAGAAGGGATCCTGCGGATCCTCTGGGCCTCCCTGGGGCAGGGGGCAGATGGCCGCAGGCGGCCAGTCAAGGGACCTCGTTGCGCCTGCGACCACGGTGGCCTCCACCAACGTTCAGAGGCTCAGCTTGGTCGAGCCCGTGCCGGACACCGCTCATCAACTGGACCCAGCGCAGGGCCGACCCCAAGAGGCCCTCTTTCTTGCTCGCGACCTACGCCGGCAGCACTTGGGGCGCGTCGGCCAGCGCCTGCGAGTGGCTGCAGCGCACAGGGGCAGCTACACATGATGCTCACCAAGGAGACGGGGTTCACCAGCGACGTCGCCGAGGGCCAAGCCCACCGGTGGGCGGACAGGACGGCCCTCCTGCTCGCGCGCAGCGGAGTCCCATTCGTGGGCGACGCCGCCAGCGCAATGTCCTCGGGCGTCGGCGTGGTCTCCAGCCGCCTCCTGGACTCGGTCAGGCTTTCCGTCGAGTGGCATGGCCTCCAGCACCTCGCGGTCGCCGGGCGCGTCTCGCTGGGCAGGGGCACTGCGATCGCTTTCGTGCCGCTCTACCTGGAGGTCGGGCTCGGCCTCAAGGGTGCCAACCTGGACACGCTTCGGGGCCTTCTTATGCCTGGCGCGCTCACTTGGAGGCCCCCCTCATGATCGGCGGCGACTGGAATGTCGAGGCTAGTGAGTTCCAGAGTTCAGCCTGGCCAGAGCTCCTAGGAGTGTCAGTCGTGGACGCTGGTGCGGCCGCATGCAACGACGCGGACTGCGACTACTTCCTGATCTCCGCGGAGCTCGAGACGATGGCCCAAGCGGTGGAGGACCACTTGGACACGCCGCAGGGCCCGCGCGCCGTGGTCACATTGACCCCATAAGCTTGTTGGGGGGCGCCCAGTGGCGCAGACCCAGCGTATTCCGACGGCCCTCGACCTGCATTTCAAGGCTGACGACGACAAGCTGCGCCAGATGGAGTCGACCGTTCAGGCCCTACCATGGCCCAGCAGTGGCGATGTGCACCCCAAAGCCGCGGTGGACACTTGGCGTGGCAAGGCCGAGACGGCCTTGGTTTCGCTGCATGGTCTGGCCGACTCCGATGCCAACTTCCACATCGGCAGCCAAGGGGCATTCGCGCCGCCCCGATCCCTTGGAGGCGAAGCCGCAGGCCAACCGCATGGACAGATCCTCGCCCATCACGAAGTGCTGGCTCTCACTGCGCCAGCTAGCACAACGCCGCCGGGGCCTAGGAGTTGGCGCCAGCTCCTACCAGGTCGTGCTCGACGGTGGCAAGCTGGAGCCCCTCCGGCAGGAGATCTCGCGCCAGACGGCCACGGGGGCAGCGCGCATGACCGCGACGCGGACCATCGCGGAGCAGCACGCCATGGCACACGCCCAGGCCGGCAAGGCAACGCAGGGGGGCGCTCAGCAAGGAGGCCTCCGAAATATCGGGGCCGCTAGCCCACGAGGTCACGCAGAAGACCCATTCGGTGCCCGCGGCAGTGCTGGACGACGACGTCGAGAGGCCCGCGGCGCTCGCGCCGGCAAAGGTGCTCGGCGAGCGGCTGCCCCCGCAGGCCGACCCGGCCCGCGTCGAGCGACGGCGCCCCCTGCAGCGGGGGGCCGACTGGGCGACCCCGCCCATCGCCGTCGAGAACATCCAGAACGCGGCGAACCTGTTCCAGAGGCAGACTGGCTTGGGCTGGGACGACTTCCACCTGCGCTTGCTGCCGAAGCTGGGCGAGGAGGCGCAGCGGCGCCCGGCGGGCACCCTGAGCGCCTGGGGGAGGGCGCCGCACTGCAGCGAGCTCTGGGCGGCGGCGACGGTCTTCCCGCCAGAACCAAATGGAGGCCAACGGCCAAGTGGCCTCGCGCCGAAGATGGCAAGGCACCGGTCGCGAATCAGGCAGAATGAATGCTTCCGCGAATAGCGCCCCATCGGCCAGCAACCGTTCTGGGGCGCATCTTCGGCCAGAGGCTGCGACGAAGCCGCCTGGATCCTGGCCCGCGCCAAAGATGCAAACGTGGAGGCCGGCTCCTCCTACGAGGGCCTCTCCAAGTACTGCGAGCAGATCGGCCGCGACGAATGTGCTTCGCAGCTAAGGCATGGAACTTCAACGAGGGCCTGCCGAAGGCGCTGCGCAGCACCTACCTGGCCCCGAGCCGCGCGTGCATCGGCGCCGCCCTCAGCCGCGCCATCACTGTCATGGCACTGTTGTCGCTGGTCGTCCTGTGCCGCAGCCTTGGCCAAGCTGATGCTACTTTCGGCGCTGCCAGCGGCGGCTTTGGCGGCCCCGGTGGTCAGGTCCCTCAATGTGGCGGGCGACGCGCCGGGTCGCGCGGTAGGTTCGCGCCTCGCGGTGGCCGCGCAGCTGGCGACGGTACATCGGGCGCCCAACGCCACGATGGCCGACGACCTGCCCGTCAGCAAGGAGAAGACGAAGGCGTTGGCCACATCTTCGGCACTGCTCAATACCGATCTCACGCAGCAGCGGGGCTGGGACCTCAATTGCACCGACTCCGTCGACGCGCATCGGAATCTGGGGGGCGACGCCACGACTGGCTCCTACAGGAGAGCGGCAGTCTCCTCGGCCAGGGAAAACGTGGCCCAGGTGCAGGGCCGTCCGGGGGCTGCGCCATCATGGGAGTTCCAAACGAACGCATGAGGCAGCTGAGGATCGGCGCAGTCGAGTCGCGCGGCCGACTGCCAAAGGGAGCACCCCTGGGGCTTGCCAGCCTATCGCAGTGGAAGGGTGGCATCGGGGCCCGCTGGTCATCACCGCCAAGCAGGCCATCATGTCCTACGTGGAGGTGGTCCGGGCTGGCCAGGAGTGGCCAGGACGCGCATAGCCAAAGGCCTGCCAAAGGCTCGGGCGCAGTATCCACGGAGGTTGGTGCAGGACCCCATCTCGGCTCTGATCCTCGCGCTTCGCCGCGTCGACTGGGGCTTCGTCGGCGGCCGCCCCCGCGTCATCCACGACGCCCGCGGCAACGCCTACGACGCGGGACGGCCCTTTCTCCCTTCTTCGGCAAGTTCGCGATGCTGGAGCGCAGGAGGGCCATCGGAGTGGCGGAGGTCCACCGAGAAGGCCCCAGCATGCGGGCCTGTGATATAGGCCCCGAGTGCGGGGGCCAACCATGCCGTTGCTGAGCCACCAGTCGGGCGCATGCGGCCCACATCAGAAGAGGGCCCCGATGGTGTCGCAGCCAGAACGCCCGCTGGTGCCGCGTCCGCGTTGGAGCCAGGAGCCCCTCTATCCCGACGAGCCGCCGGTTCTGCGGCAGGGCCAATGGCTCGCTGAGCCACCGGCGCTCCGTGCGCGACGCGCACGCGGCTTGGCGGCACGACACCGTCGATCCCGACCTCAAGCTGGCGGCGGAGAGGGTCAAGGAGCTAAGACGCCCGTTCGACGACCTCTTCGCCAGGGGTCTTTTCCCCGACGCGGCTCTTCCAGCGGCCTGGCCGCGCCAGGGAGACGAGCGCAGGCGCACGGCGTCGCAGCACCCCGTGGGCCTCTCCTGGGCGCTGCCTGGTTGGTTTTCGTGGGCGGGTCGGGTTTCGACCAGGACTCCCCCGCGCTGCGCGCAGCAGGTTGGTCGGTCACCGCCAACGAGTCCAACGGGCGCTTCGGCCTCAAAATTAACGTCTGAGCGGG